AATGTGTGATGTTCGTAGTTGCAGTATGGAGAAGGTGGCATTTCTCCATGAATCTGACTCCTTTTAAAGATAGTTCCCATCAACTAACTTATGTCAGTGAATTCCAAAATTTAACTGTGAAGTGGTTCTTCCTCCTGTCTGGATCTCTTGGTGTTGCAGTCAACTAAGTTCTACTCATAGTAGAGCCATTTAAATCAGTGGATTTAAATTGGCCGTGTCCTTTAATTACAGTGGCTCTGTTCCATCATGTTAGTTGTATGCCCCTAGATTATAATGAAAGGGGAAATCTCATATTCACTTTATCCTCACCTTTTAACTAAAAAGCCCCAAATGTTTTAACCATTCCTCCTTGTCCCTGTACGATATTGACTCTTCTATAGAACTATTAACAGAACAGCAATCTGATCCTCCATTGTTTCCAGCCACCCTAAACCCAACAAATGTTTGGTTTACACATGATTTACCATGTTCTGTTCTAAATCTCTTAGATTATATTATTATAGAAAATTTCAAATGCTGTAAAGTAAGTCAATAAACAGAAGGTCCACTTAAATTATGGGTTGGATAGAAGGGGGAAATTGCATCTGATTGTTTCTGAGGTCATCGCAATGAGATAGCTATGGCTGATGGTTGACTAACTCTCAACCCTTGGCCATTGCACTCTTCATCTCCTGCAGATGCAGTTGGTGGTAGAGCAGCTCTGCCTCATTACTTAACATGAGATGTTAATAATTATGACATTGAATATTTTTACTATGCAGAAAAAGCAAATACCTACTATTGACATTTCCCCCCTAGCTGCTGACCACAACAGGCAGGTTATCAGACATGTGGCTGGCTCCTGACGTAGCATGGTACGCATAGATGTCAGAATACGCTGCACGAAAATGTCTCCTCCAACACTTAAAAGCAGAACGAGACACAGATCAGAGGAGACACTTGGAGGCTATTGCTTTTATACCTTATTGTAGGAAACTTCCTAGATGTAGTACTGTGACTTTCTTCCATAGTCACATGCAATGAGATAACCTGTCAACAATGGTACCTGCAGTTGATTGAGGTCTGGCCTCTGCTAAGCTTACCTCTCTCAGGACCAGTGTGAGATGTGCAAGGATTCCCACTTTCCACTTAAGAGCAGACAGTCCTTCCTGATAAAGAGTTCCTGCCACATGCACTCCATTTCTATCTCATCCACCCATGGTGTATCTTACTTCATGATTGTCTCTCACTTCCAAGTCAGATGGATCAATGGTATGTCGCAACACAAGGCAATATAATATGTTCATAGGATTTTCATTATCATCATTGCCACAAAACCATTTCAAGTCTCCCTACTGAGGCTTGGGATCCTTACTGTTAAAAGATTCAGTCACCATGCAGTGCTGTGAGTGTATTTCAGAGTTGGCAAAACACTAGATACTATGAATTTGATTTTTGCCACAACATCATAATGCAAATTGCAATTTGGCAACTTCTGCAAGCATCTTTAAAATGGGTTTTTATCAAAGGTTTCTGACACAATGCTATGCTGTGAAGAGACTGCAGTACCTCACGGAGTTTGAGGTACCCGAGATCAGCAGTCCTAACAATTCTAGCTTCTGTGCAATTGAAATACAGGCCTAATATGTTATGGAACAAGTTGCAAAGCAAACACAATAGGCTTCAGTGAAGCAGAAAGCCAAGCAGACACAGGTTGTTGCTTTTTAATAAAAAAAAAGTTGGAATTTACCTTATTTGTTCTTGCTGTCACTTAGGAGAGCCTCCTCCTCCTCCTTAGCAACAGGAATCTCTCAGGATACAACAATATCAGAGATTGCAGAACAATGATTAGAAAGGCAGGCATGCTCTTTTGCTACTGCAGTGGTCAGAAGAGCCTTACACTGTGCAACTCAAATTCATCTTCCTTCCAGGTTGCTGTGGAGCCAATAAAGCAGCAAAAAACCAATGCTGGGAGAAGCATGCTCCAAGCAGAGGATTCTGGCTTTACATGAGAAGTGGCTGGTTTTGCCAAGTGCAGCTATGCCCTCTGCTGTCCAAGACTGACACTACTTTCAACATCAAGGTTGTTTCTTCATTTCTTCAGAATAAACACCAAATTTCATTCTTGGAAGGATGGTCAGCCGTGCTTGTCAACACTCTTCTTCCTTTGAAGTTTCTGTCACCTGATGTCATAGGATGTCAGGTGACAGCTGGACAACCCCACAGAGTTTTCCCACTTCTGGGTCTATGTATCTTCCTTCTTAGAGCATTCAGATCTTGAGTGTACGCCAGCCTGGCTATCCAGACATCAGTCAGGACCTTTCCTTACAATTAATTGCAGTGCCAATTTTATATACAATTTACTGTCCATACAGCTAGTGTCAACACAAAAGGGGCTTCACAATCAAGCTGATTAGACTACACTTCCTTCCTTGTACAAATTAACATGAAGATAGAGCATTGATTCTGATAACATCAGAACAATGGAGAAATTAACAAGCAAGAAACAAGAAGAGATAAATGCTGAGAAAAGCATAGTGTTCTTTTTATCGCTCAGCATTTAAGATACTTTCTGTAATTGATTTACAGACATCAAGTTAAGAAATACCTAATCAGCATCTCAAGTCCCTTCCTTAATCCTCCTCAAACTTATTCTATTTGTATTTTATTTTTAACTGAGTTTTCTCAAAATCAAAGTCCTTTAAACCCATCTTCCCTACAGCCAAGCGTCCCACAAATACATTTAATTTTCTGACCAATGTAACCATTAGGTGATTCTTTCTATTGTTTCTTTCCACGGGTGGCTGCACTGTTTTGGCTGCTGAAAACGTGAAACAATGCAGCCAGCAGTGAATGAGTAATTTACAATCGTGCAGCCACAGCAAATAATGAATTTTATTATTTAGCATTTAAAATCATATACTGCTTAATATTTCAAAAAATCTCTAGGCAGTATAGTCTAAAAAAACAATGTGTCATACACTTCCATGATTCTAGGAGTAGAATGTGTTTTCAGGTTACTGTGTCACTGCCCTATATATTGTGCAACAAGCAGAATTTCCCCAGATGATCCAGCCCATCTGTACACAGGCAGGTGAACTTTCAGGTAACCTGGTCTCAAGTTGTTCAGGGCTTTCTGTCAACACCACCTTGAACATAGTCTGGTAGCTGACTTACAGCTGACACTGTTCCCTTGGCACAGGTGTAGTATGTGCACATCCAGGTACTTCACTCAGCCTGGCCGCAGTCTTCTGCACCAGCAGCAGCTTCTGGACCAATTCCAAGGCAAGCCCCAAAAAGAGCACATGACACTAATCTAATCATGGGGTTAGACATGCATGAATCATAGTGGCTAAGCTATCCTTGTCCAAGAAAGGGTGTAGATGGCATACCAGCCAAAGCTGGTAACAGGTGGTCACCACAGGGGTCACCCGAGTCCCCAGTGAGAGAGATGTATCAAAGAATGCCCCCAAACTACACAGATATTCCTTCAGGAATGCAGCCCCTAACTCCCAGGCCTGGGAACTGTTCACCCACTAAGTCTTCATCTTAGCAGAATTCAGCCTAAGTTTATAGACCCTCATCTAGCCCACTTTTTCTTGAGTCAGATGCTATGGACAAATACAGCTGAGTGTCGCCAGCATATTAAAGACACTGTACCTCAAAATTTCTAAATTCAGTGGTTCCCAACTAGCTAAGGAATATGGACCCCATTTTTCAAAGGTCAAACCATGGACCCCCTATTTTCAAAATTTGGTATTTCTATGGTAGTTTTTAGGGGACGCGGGTGGTGCTGTGGTGTAAACCACTGAGCCTTGGGCTTGCCGATCGGTGTTTCAAATTCCCACAACGGGGTGAGCTCCTGTTGTTCGGTCCCAGTTCCTGCCAACCTAGCAGTTCGTAAGCACGCCATAGTGCAAGTAAATAGGTACCGGGAAGGTAAACGGCATTTCCGTGCGCTGCTCTAGTTTCGCCAGAAGCGGCTTAGTCATGCTGGCCACATGACCTGGAAGCTGTACGCCAGCTCCCTCAGCCAATAAAGCATAATGAGCGCTGCAACCCCAGAGTCATCCGCGACTGGACCTAATGGTCAGGGGTCCTTTACCTTTTATGGTAGTTTTTGCTTTGTGAATGGTGCCATGGAACCCCTGGGTGGGTTACCCCATAGGTCGTCAGACCACCAACTGGGAATCAGAGTTCTAAATGAATTGCTCTCAGTGGCTTCATATTGATAGTTGCATACCATCCAAATCTCTGAGCAGTTTCCAGGGGTTCTAGGTGCTTGTCCAGGGTTTGTTTCCTTTGGAATGATGCAAAGTGGAGACTGTGGTGTCTTTATGATGGAGGGGTTCACAGAACCTATGATGGAGGGGTTCACAGGATTAATACCTGAAGAGGATCTTGTTTCTCCTATGGCCACAGCCTTGGATTCCAGCAGAAATCATGCATAGCACTCTCTCTGGCATCTGTATGCTTTTAGCTTCTAGCTCACAAACCTCAACTCTGCCCTTTGTCTTTCTAACTACCAGACAGCCTGAGGGTGGCCGGCCCACCCATTTACCCTCTGGCACAGAGTGACTTCCTCTGTTGCCTTAAGGATCCATACTTAGGGCCTTTATGGCCCTTGCCTGGCTAACTCAGCAATTTGAATCCCTGCTAGATCCAGGAACTAGAAGGGTCTTGGCACATCGCCTAACCCGCCAAACTTGTAACACTAACCACAAGAACAAGACATCTTTTTTTAAAATGGGAAACAGAGTGGGGTGTACTCTATACTTGCCTGAAAAATAAAGCAACAGCAGGATAAGAGATTTTCACCAGGGGAAGACGACTAAATTAAGGGAGCCAATCAGAAAAGAGACTCCCAAATGTTGATGGGAAAGTCGCCAGTATCTTCTAATGAAAAGTTTATTGCTAAGGTAACATTGTAATTTGGGCTGAACAGTTTGTTTTCTGCTGTATCATTATAGAACTTTTAAGATTTCTACACCAGGTGCTATGGATAATAAGTAACAAAGATGTACTAACAAAAAGTTTTATTTATAAAGAACTACAATTCAACACCAATGTAGAAAAGTTATTGAAAATTATGCAAGCACAAATTAGGTAACTGGCTTCATTCTTCACACTTCAGACACCAATGGTAGAATTGGGAGCGATACCATTACACCACTGCATGTTTTCTTCTATAGGTTTTAAAGATTAAAATAATAAGCAAAACAGACTCAATAACTATTTCTAGTTAGAAACACTCTGTAGAAGAGTAATATTGTCTCCTTTTAACATGATTCGACCTGCAATGGAAAAAAAGTGCCATTAGATCTATGGAAGTAAAAAAGATGCCCCTTTTCTGACAACATAATACCCCTTTTCTACTAACATCTTAAATCCAGTTTTCAGTTCATAGAATCGTAGCATTGGAAGGGGCCACAAGGGACATCTAGTCCAGTTCCTTGCAATGCAGGCTGCACAATGTGGAGCTTGAATTTGTGACCCTGAGATTAAGAGTGACATGCTCTACCAACTGACCCACTTCAGTTACATTCGTCATTTATCTACACCAGTCTTTCTCAACCTTGGGTCCCCCAATGTTTTTGGACTACAACTCCCACCATTCCTAGCAAGCATGACCAGTCATTAGGGATGATGGGAGTTGTAATCCAACAACATCTGGGGACCAAAGGTTGAGAAAGGCCGATCTAAACTGTATAATCAGTACTAAAAATATTGGCAAGGGTAGCAAAGTACAGTACTGTACAGCATTAACCCTTTCTCTTTTCCCTTTCTATGGCCTAATTCTTTCATGTCCTCAATTACAGCATTAATTTGCTATCCAAAAACATTCAAGTAACATCCTAGGATAAGATGAACTGCAAATATAATAACTTAGAGTAGGTAATATTTACAGATAAAAAAGCAGCTATTCTTCCTTTTCATGTTATTTTTCTACTACACTTTAATAATAATTTTCATAGCAGTTTCACAGTAGTATTAAAAGGTAATTCTTTATCACTTGCTAAGATTATAATTGGACACTGGAGAAAGAACATGCCCATTTGACAGGCAACAGTCAGCTCTTTTTCATACTTAGTGGTTGAAATCCAGCCCACTAGAAAATTTGCAGAAAGCCAATAAAGATCCAGGCACAGCAGGGCAGTGAAAGCCCAGTGGCTAAAACCCATCTGGAAGGGAACATCTGTACTAGATGTAACAGTCAAATAGGTTTTTTATTGAAAATATTGAAAGAACAATTGCATTTGCTAATGACAAAAGGGAATGGTGTCCTCAACACTCACCCAGCTGTTTCCTTGATTTTGTCTTGGAGTGAATCTCCTCAGCATCATCCAGAACCAAGTTCATATATTCATCAAATCCCTGTGTAAGCCAAAACAGTTGCCTATGACTTCACATTGTTTTAGGGAAAGCAGAACACATGATAAGGTAGGAAATAAAGCAATATATCCCAGTAGTGAATTCAGACAGCTTGTTAACATCATCACATGCTGCCTGATTTTATATAAAAAAGTGCATAACCCAATATGCCAAAACAATGACACAAACCTCCAAAACAAGACACAATTAAACTAAAATAAAAGTTCAATTCTGGACATGCAAGACTTTTCTGACAATGGCAGGAATTAATTGTGCTCTTTGGGTCTTCAGTTACATTTTATTTATTTTATTTTAAATTTATTGTTTTATTGCTTCACCTTCTTAACTTTTACTGTGTCTTGACAGATACTGCAACGAGGGCATAAAAATGCTGTTACAAATAGAAAGCAAAAGATTTAAAATCATAAAATGAGCAGCGTAAAATTAATAAACTATATAACTCAGAAGCAGCATTAAAAATGTAAAACAGTTTTCAGTTATTATTATTATTAATTGAATTTATAAACTGCCCTATAACCACATAAAATAGCTTTAACCTGGCATTTAAATTTGGTACCAAATGAACTTGCCATGGTAAGAGAGGCAAGCACAATTATACAACCTTGTGAATCATGCAAAGGCATGATCATTTACATGCTTCTTGTTAGTAGGTGAAGAAGCTAAAGTTACTTGAAAATTAATTAAGCAGGAATCATTTTCTGGGTGGTTTGCTTCTGATAGTGTGGGTGGGTGTGAAGAAAGAAAAGAGAGAAACAGTGATGGCAATACTCACAATAATACAGCCTTCTATCCTCATGTTCACCTGTTCATACAGCCACACCTGAATTCTGGACCTCTGCAAAGTAAATAGTAAAGGAAGTATTTATAATGGTTCCAAAGAGGCTTTCACAAATTCAGTTGCCTATTGAAGATATCCATGGCTTTCACATGAAAAAGAAAAGGGCTGCCAAATCATACTTGGCTTTGGAAAAGGTAGAAATTCCAAAACCCAGCATGACATTAGACACACATCCTGTGCATATTCAGAAGGTGTGAGCCTGAATCATGGATTCGTACCAAGCCAATCCAAAATGTATGGATGTCTTAATCCAAACCATGTTTTTGAAGTGCTGAAGCACTACACAACATTATACTTACTTTGTTTGAAATGTTTATGGTTTATTCAAGACAAAAAGCTACTCATTCCTACGGTGCAGTTAAAATGCCATAAACAGAGGCCATGGAAATGGATGGGCAGTGTTCAAATTAGGACATAACCTAGGTTTCAAGGTGCCATTTAGCTCCTAGCTTTCACATCTCAGTTTCTAACACTGAACAGCAGGAAAGTGAGGTAAAAGTTTGCCTGCCACATTCGTTTTAAAAGTTCACACCAAGCCCTTGTAATACAGACTATATACGCTCCCCTCCAATAAAGCAAAATAGCACATCCTGACTATGATTTTATAACACAATAAAAAATTCCAGATCTCCTGGCCATTTGCTCTTCATCCACAAGTTATGCTGAATAGCACTACTTGTTCAAATTCATTATTAAGGAGTAAAAATCGCAAATTGTGTTTACTTACATTCTGTAGGTATCTGAAGATGAGGTTCTGCAACAAGTGGCTTAAGGAAAAACACATATTCATAATAAAGCAGCACAAAGCGAGCCAATTTTGACAGTGGAATTAGAACTGCTACCTCCACTTTTCAACATATATTGAGGAAAACAGCAACCACGAATTAGTATGCCTTGCCGTTTCTAATCAAAACCATTCCAATTTACTTTGGAAGATCCTTTTGAACATTTGGCTGCTTTCTGGGTCGAATTTGAGCCGCATTTTATCCACTCCCCACAAGTCTAGTCTGTTTGCCAGCATTTATATTCTGCCCTTCCCCCTCATGCTTTCCAGATGAACGGGGTAAAAATAATAAATTTTATTAAGTTTATTATTATTATTAAAGAGGATTTCAAGGCTACCCACAACAGCGCATGTGTGGCTTCGCTACATACGGCGCATGCATTATTATTATTATTATTATTATTATTATTATTATTATTTTACTCAAGAGGATTTCAAGGCTGCCCACATTATTCAACACCACTCCCCAAAACACTGTGAGGGGGACTAGCTTGAGAGCGTGGAACCGGTCCATTTTTACTGCTGACAGGAAACAACTGGGAATTTGAACCCAAGTCTCCCGGGCCAACGACCTGCACAAGCTACGCGACACAAATCAATGTATTCCCGCCACTCCTGCGCCGAAATTTCCTCACGGGAAACCAAGCACCTGCTTCTCTCCTCGCCCCTTCAAACCCCCTTGACGACCCCCCGCCCTATGAATCTCAAGACACCTCCCTTGTGCGCCATTGCTTCCCTCCCCCCCCCCCCGCCCGTTACCATCCCCTTCCCACGCCGGGCCTGCTTCGCTTCCCGAAAGCCACGGAAGGATACGATGGGCTGCACCATCACTTTCTGCACCTTCTGGCCTTGCCCGCGGTACGCCATGGCTGGCAGCTGGGCTGGGAGCGACCCCCGACAGGACGAGCCGATTTAGGCGGGACGGGGCAGCCAACGGTCAACTCCTCTCACTCCTCGCTTTATTCCTCGCACGCGCGCAGGGCGACGCTCCACCGACGTAGCTAAGAGAACTTCCGGCGCGGGCAGGAAGCTAAGCGACAGCCGTTCGTTTTTTGCATCACAATGGCGAGGCTGGGAGAGCGGCGCCCGCGTGATCCGAAAAGGGCCAATCGCGCAGGCGCCCCCGCCCTCTTCCTCCCCGTCCGCCATGACGCTTGCGGGCAGGGTCGGCCTAACCTGGTGAGAGGCGCCATCTTAGAGGAGGGCAGCGGTGTTGCTGAAGTAGACGCCTCGAGTTCCGTCTGCCGTCCAGAAGAAGAAGACGAGAGAAGGTGACTGGAGGAGTGTTGTCCCGACTTCGACAGCGGCTTCTTCTCGGGGTTCGGTAAAGTCCCTGCGCGCGGGTGACAAGGGGCCGGGGTCCCCCTCCCTCAGCCACCGATATAGGTATAAAGGCCGCTTCGTATAGGATTCCCTGGGTTTCCCTGGCCGAGGCGGCTCTCCGTAGGCCCGCCGCCTAGGGCCTCTTTGTTTTCAAATTTACGCTCTTCCTTTTGTTAAACGGCCCGTTCCGAGTCCCTAACCGAGACTGCGACAGCTTCCTTATATTTATTTTATTTTATCTATGGTTGCCCCTAAATTAACTCCATTTTCTGCTTCCTTTTGCGTTTCATATAAATGGCGTCCGTACGGCCCCGCTTTATTTATTTATTTATTTCCCGGCCCTCCCACAGCGATTGTTTTCCTGCTCTTCAAGATTTGTTTAGATAATTCGGTTTTCCCTCCTAGTCTCCCAGATCCTCGCGACCATCTAGGAAAGGGCATTAGGATTAACTGGCCTAATCCCAAAGATGAGAAAACTAGGGCAAAGGAAATCCCACAGTGCGGGATTTTCAATAATAGTGGGTTGTTTGTTTGTTTTTAAATGAAATAAAATTAAGCCAAGACCTGCCATTTCTAGTGCTATTGATGTAACAGAACTCTCCGGCATTGCAATTCAGTAGTACACTGAAAAATAGCAAAACAGGAAGTACAGTAATTCTGGTTGACAAAAAAAAGAGTCTCTGATTATCATGGCATTTAGCTGGTGGCATTTGAGGTTCTTTTCCAAAACAGATTGTTGTCATTGGTGCATGCTGCACTCCAAGATTGAGCTGTGCATCTAGCATGTTTTAGGAATATACTGGTAATGTCATAGGCTAATTGCATGCTATTGCTAGGCAGCATAGAGACAACTACTTAAATGAAGATGAGGATGATCAATGGTTGCAGAGGACATAAAATTCCTTTTGTAACCAAAATATCTGGCGTATATCCAGTTTGAAACTAGGTACTAGTTCTTCCCACTGCAGACCATTTGCAGCTGAATTAGCTGTAATAATTGTGATAAAGTTTTTCTGTGCGTTGAGCAGCTAATAATTTAGTGTGTTAATTTCCCCAGTCTTTCTGATACGAGAAGATGCAGCAGTTTTAATACCTAAGAGTACATTGTTTCCTCCCAGTGCAGAGTCTGGCACAGATGGCAGTAAAGATGGACAGCACTTCCTAAAGCTATTGTAGTTAGAGGTGCTTATCCTATCCATGTGCCTTTCAAAACATGCAAAAAGATCATAGTATCAAAGGACAGGTTTTAGGTTTAGTTAACAGAAACCCATATGCTGTTAGGGGAAGCTGAGAAATTGGTGGGCATTGGCCCAAGGGGTCATAAATTACCTCAACTGCCATTCTTCTACCTTGCTGTCAGAATGTCAGAGCAACAAATTTCTTGACCTCTGAACATAAACTCATTTCATAATTTGACAATGACAATATGGAAATGGCTCTTTTATATAATTATTCAGGCATTTGGCTTTGTCATGCATGGTGCTTACTCATTGCAATGAAATGGAGAGGTGCTTAAGAGAACAGTGAATAAAATCTGTGTTCTGTGCTTCAAGACAATTGGAAGTGCATATGAAAATGCTGCTCTTTGCTATCCATCATTAGCACTAGCTGCTTTTTGACCTCCAAAGTGTCTTGTGAACATATACTCTCAATACCTACAATGAGACAGGGATGTTAACTATGCTTGATAATCAGAGTGAGGGAGATAATGTGACACTGTATGAACAGGAATTATTATATGAAAGTTTCTGTTCCTGTGCCTAAACCTTTCAGCTTACATTCCTAGAAGGGAGTATTGCAGGGGGTGATCCAGCTCTACAGTTCTGTGATTCTATTGCATTTTTTCTCACATAAGCTCAAAAGTTAGCCCACCATCAGTTGACTTTTGAAAAGCTTTTGTACGATTTGAACACAAAACTGCTCAGCTTTATCAAGGATGTCAGCATCATCATGAGAATCTGGCTTTCAAGTACTATTCCTACTATCAGAGCTATGCCCATTATTTTTACTGGAGGGGGGGATGGAAAAACAATTAATCACCTTTTCTTAATTGCTTTTTAAAAATTGTTGGTTTTTATATATTGGTGAAAGACACCAACAGTTCTTGGATTTCACCTATATATTAAAACAGTGTAATATTGAATGAAGTTAATAATTGTTCTCAGAGCTGGATGTGCAGTATGTTCTTAAACCATGGCAGATAATATACAAACTGCTTTATAACATGCACTTAAATTGGGATAGGCAGTTTAATTAACCAATTTTTTGTGTGCCTTAAGGTAGTATGTACAGAAATGAACTTTGTATTCAGGGATTGTGTATGCAAAAATAAAAATAAAAGGCTACAGAAAGGAAATACCTAAAGTTAATTTGCTGCTTATAATGCCTGTATTTGCACAATTCCCCCCCAAGGGGATAGTTTGGTTGACACTAAATGTGGGCTGATTATGGCAAAGAGAGGTATTGTGCATTTGTCAGAATCTTTCTCCTTGCGGAATTGATCATGTGAAGCACCAATATCATTTAGTGCAGGCAAATCAGGTTTGAATAAATAAAAAAACTGGGTGGGAAGAGAATATAATAATGAAAATTAATTGTTGTAGTTATATATATAATTTCCCCTTGTGTAAAATTCATCATGGACTACTACTTTTTCTTTTTAAAAATACTTTCCCCTCTCTATTTTAGAGTTGGGTGAAATACCATGCCAAAAATTACCCCCCAAAATATGTTAGCATTTGTGTGAATAAAAGATTCCTACATTTCACTCTTCAATTTGAAAGAAGGAATATATACTCAAAATGGCATTGAAAGAGGGATCAACAATTTCTTTTCTTTTGGGTCACTTTGTGACTGAAGATGCATTGGTTGCTAGGATGTTGGACCTGCTGCATCCTTTCAACCTTATCACTGAAAAACAGTGACTTATGGTGTATCTTTGCAGTGATGTATGGGGGACTGAGCAAAATTAGGTACAGAAAAAACAAAACAAATTTAACATATTGACAGCAAAATCAAACAGTTGCCTTGATTTTGTAGTACTAAGCCTGTTGCTTTTAAAACTGCATCATGCAGTTAGTTTCTGCATAAAAATTAATTGGATCCCAATTTGTCTGAAAATCGGTCTTAATACTCTATACATCATGTGTACACCCTATGTCTATGTATCTATTTGTGTGCTTATGTGGGAAACGATTGGCCTGAAATTTGTATGGCAATTTATTTTTAGTTCCCCAAATTTGAAACATTCTGTTGCAAAATTTCAATCTTTAAATTTAACTACCATGCTTGTATATACATTGTTGCATGTATAAACACAAATGTATTTAAGGATACTTATGTGTATATACATATCTGTGTTTATACATACAAGTATATTTTTTTTAACTATACAGTTTAATAAAGAGCGGGGAAGATTTTTCCTTTTTTCCAATAGGTGGAAGAAATCTTGAAGACCAGAAATTGAAAAATGTGTTTTAATTAAAAAAAAAAATTTAAAATTTTCCGGCTGTGGAAGATGGATCTTCTTTGCAGCCAGTTTGAAACACAAGTTCATCTTTAAATGAACAATTTATTTTGAAGAGGCAATTAACCTTCACTATCTCCAGTCTTCCTGACCGTTCAAATGGACTTGCTTTCTCCAGTAGTTGTATTTCACCTTGTCTGAATTTTGAATGAGAATGAGATGTGTTCCTTGGAAATGTGAGGAAGAAAAGTCTTTCTATCCCGTTATTATCAATTCATGGATTGAGTGTTGATTCGACCTACAGGAGAAAAATAACTGGAAGTCTTTGAAGACAGAGTTGCATGCTGAACCTACCAAGGTATCTCAGTGAAAAATGTATTCATTTGGGAAGGTTTAGTGTGTGAACTGTAATTCAACAGGTGCTTAAGATATATCTTAGCAGTTGCTAAAATTTGAAGGATTATCAAAATGACTAGCTGGCAGCAGTTTTCACCCAGTGGCCAAGGTTTCTGCAATAGCAATAGCATATGCAAATGTTGTTCTAATTATTCAACTTGGCGCATGTCCCAATCTCAGCATCCCTTCTTGTCAGTTCACCTCATCCATCTGTTTTAAGCAGTCAGCAAAGAAGTGGTGGTATAGGAATTGAGCTTCCCAAAATATTAAATGTGTGTTGTCTGCTTGTTGCCAAATATGAAACTTCTATATTTCTGGATTTTGCCCTCCTGATATTGCTGGACAACAGATCTTCTTGTCCCTCACCATTGGCCATGCTGTCCAGAGGTTAATGGGAGTCGTAGTCCAACATCTGCAAGGCACCATGTTGGCTACCCCCGCTTTAGTGTTTCTTACTATGATGTAAAGAAATTGGATGTCAGGAAATTGGAGGGTAAACAGATTTATGTGGTTTGTTTTTAAACTGGGAACCAGTTTTCATAACATATATAAAAGTAGAATGTGTTTACCTAACCTACTGGGGTTTAGAACTTATTATGTGCCATTAAAATAAAAAAAAGTAGCAAAGCTTGTGATTTGTAACATGAAGGTTTCTTTTTATTTTCCTTCATCTCTTTCCAAGATTATATTTTAAAGAAGATACCAGTAAATCCAGCCTATAGAAGGTTTTGCCAGTTAAACCAAACTGATCAGCCATCACTGAGAGAACAGTAAACCTCTGTTCAGCCACCAGTCTCTCCAACATAAGCTGACAATAAAGATTCAGCCGAAT